CCATTAAAAATTTAACCAGTTAAATAGTTAACATAAAAATACCCAGGATTAATTTTAAAAACTTTAACCTTATTTAACCTTGCAAAGCACTCATTTACTATTAAAAAAACCATATATTGGTCTTATGCTTAATTGTTTATGAGATGACTACAGCTCAGATTACATTTTCGGGAGATTCCGGAACATTTACAGGTTCACCCGGAATGATCTTAGGATTGACACTGCCTCATGAAAATGTCACATAGTTTGCTAAAACTTTAGCATACAGAACAGTAGATAATAATAAGAGTTTGAAGCTCACACTGACAAATGCCTTAAAGAATTGGGGGTGAATATGCATAGTCTATGTTTAAGTCATTTTTATTGTGGGTTTTAAAAAAGAGCTTCGTGAGCAAATTTAAAATTATTAGATTTGCCAATAACCAAATTTAATAGAGACAAATGAGAGAAGTAGTTATCGTATCAGCATTAAGGACACCAATTGGAAGTTTCGGCGGTTCGCTGTCAGGTTTTACAGCCACCCAATTGGGAGGTTTTGCCATTAAAGCTGCTGTTGAAAAAGCGGGAATTAAACCTGAAGATGTACAGGAAGTATACATGGGCAATGTTTTATCAGCAAATATAGGCCAGGCACCTGCCACTCAGGCGGCTAAATTTGCTGGTTTACCTGATGTTCCTACTACCACAATAAATAAAGTGTGTGCTTCTGGCACTAAAGCAATCATGCTTGCAGCGCAAAGCATCGCTTTAGGACAAAATGATATTGTTGTTGCCGGTGGAATGGAAAGTATGAGTAACGTCCCTTATTATCTTGATAAAGCCAGAACAGGTTATAGATTGGGACATGGACAATTAACTGATGGTCTGGTTAAGGATGGTTTATGGGATGTTTATAACGACTACCATATGGGTTCTGCTGCTGAATTGTGTGCATCAAAATATAACATTAGCCGTGAGGCACAAGATAATTATGCTGTGAGTTCTTATAAAAGAGCACAGGCTTCCATCAATGATGGTAAATTCAATGCGGAAATTGTTCCTGTTGAAGTAGTTGATCGTAAAGGAAATGCAACAATTGTAGATAAAGATGAGGATATTTACTCCGTTAACTTTGATAAATTACCAGGTTTAAAACCAGTATTTAAAAAAGACGGAACAATTACTGCAGCAAATGCATCTGCATTAAACGACGGTGCAGCGGCATTAGTTTTAATGAGTGCAGATAAAGCAAAAGAACTTGGTTTAAAACCATTGGCACGTATTTTAAGTTATGCTGATGCACAGCACGCACCAGAATGGTTCACTACCGCACCTTCAAAAGCTATTCCACTAGCACTGCAAAGAGCCGGAAAAAGCATTACTGATGTAGATTTCTTTGAAATTAATGAGGCTTTTTCTGTAGTTTCTTTAGCCAATAACCAGGAAATGGGTTTAACGGATTCTCAAGTCAATGTAAATGGCGGTGCAGTTGCGATGGGACATCCGCTAGGTGCTTCCGGTGCTCGTATCGTAGTGACGCTGCTTTCTGTACTGGATCAAAACAATGGTAAAATAGGTGTTGCCGGAATTTGTAATGGCGGTGGTGGTGCAAGTGCATTGGTTATTGAAAAAATCTAAATTGATGTTTAAGGTTTTCAAACCCTTTTTTATATTATTCCTGATGAGCTGTGTGGTGACCAATGTCTCTGCACAGCTCAGTCCGGGTACCGTTGAACTGAATAAGTACCAGGATTCTCTGTTAAAAATCACTAAAAACTTATTTACAGCATCCAATAATATTGATCGCTTTGAGCAGAATTCTAAATTCATCAAAACATTGGTAACTGCTTTGAAGACTTCTTCCTCTTTTGATTTCGGCTTCGATTCCCTGCAAACAATTTCTGTTGTAAAATCACCGGATCATACTTTCAGGATTTTCTCCTGGTATGTTCCCACTGTTGAAGGTACTTACCGCTTTTTCGGTACTGTTCAATTAGCCACAAGGGACGGAAAACTAAAATTATACCCCCTGATTGACGATACAGAACATATTTCTGATCTGAATCAGATCACCACCAATAAACAATGGTATGGGGCAAGGTATTATGAAATTATCCCGCTGATTGTAAGCGGACAAAATACTTCTTATGTGTTGCTTGGCTGGAAGGGCAACAACAATAAAACTTCTAAAAAGGTCATTGAGGTTCTTTCATTTGTAAATGATGAATTGAAATTTGGAAAGACAATTTTCCAGGGAGCTAAAAATACTGAAGTAAAAAACAGAATTGTATTTGAATACAATAAACTGAATTCCATGACCTTAAGGCTTGACAAGAATGAACAAATGATTGTATTTGATCATCTCGCTCCTTTTGACCCTAATATGGAAGGGAATTTTGAATACTACGCTTCTGATTCTAGTTTTGACGGTTATCGCCTGGTAGGCAATCAACTGAAACTGATGGAAAATATTGAATTAAAAAATGATCCGGATGCGAAGGATGATTTTTATATAGACCCTAAACCCAAAGAAATACCAACTGTAAAGAACTAGTTTTTAAGCAAAATACTGCCTCTATAGGGCCTGAATTTGCGATTACGGGGTCATGTCCTTATATTGCGCGATGCGTAACTTCACTAACACACACCTAATTTTTGAAATTGATGAATGAAACCATTAAAGTAAAGCATCCGAAAGGACTGACTTTCCTTTTTTTGTCTGAGATGTGGGAACGTTTTGGATATTACCTGATGATAGGGATCTTCACCCTATATTTAAAAGATGTTAAAGCCGGTTTTTCGATGACCGAAGCTGAATCTGCCGACTTATATGGTACGTTTATAGCACTTGTATTTCTTACTCCATTTTTAGGTGGATTAATTGCAGACCGTTATTTAGGTTATGCAAAATCAATCATCCTGGGCGGTCTGTTAATGGGTGCTGGTTATTGTATGATGGCAGTGCATAGTTTACCAATTCTATATCTTTCTATGACGCTGGTCATTATTGGAAATGGATTTTTCAAACCAAATATATCTACTCTGCTGGGTAATATCTACTCTACACCTGAATATTCAGACAAAAAAGATGAGGGTTATAATATCTTTTATATGGGTATTAATATCGGTGCCTTTATCTGTAATTTCTTCGGTGCAGCACTATATATCATGCTGGGCTGGGGTTATGCCTTTATTGCAGCCGGAGTCGGGATGTTCATTGGTGTAGCGATTTTTATTTACGGGATGAAGCATTACAGAGCCTTTGACGTTAAAAAAGGTGTAAAGGAAGGTGATATGTCTTTCTTGAAAATTGTATTGGTAATTTTAGTCCCATCTGTTATTGCCGGAGTAATTGGCTGGATACTTCCAACTAAATTAATAGGCCATGCACTGGTTGGCTCTGCTTCTACAGATGCATTTATCTTTGCTTGCGTGCCTGTAATCTATTTTTACGGCTCTTTACTTGCCAAGGCTGATAAAGACGAAAAAAGACCAATTGCTGCATTACTTACCATATTTGCTGTAGTCATCCTGTTTTGGGCGGTATTCAAACAGAATGGTACAGCATTAACAACCTGGGCCGACCGCTATACAGACAGACATTTACAAAATCCTGTGGCCGAAAAGACTTTCTCTAAACTCAATTTCTCACAAAACTTCACCTATTCGAAAGACTCTATACCTTTATATGATAACGCATTCCGCATTCAAAAGAAAGATGGAATCGTATTAAAAGAATACAATTACCCAACTTATTTTAAAAATATCCCAGCCGACAAGCTTCCAGCAGCAGGTGGAAAAGTGGAGCTTTGGGCAACCAATCTAAGTCAGTCCATAAATCCGGCCTGGGTGATTTTACTGACCCCATTAGTAGTCGCATTCTTTACCTGGCTACGCAATAGAAACAGAGAACCAAGTACAGCTACAAAAATTGCATTCGGCTTATTCATTTCAGCACTTTCGGTACTGGTAATGATCGGTGCTGTTTATTCTGGTGGTAATGGTGCTGAAAAAGTTTCTGTCTTATGGCTGGTAGCTGGTTACGGTGTAATCACTATTGGTGAACTATTTTTAAGCCCGATGGGTTTATCACTGGTTTCGAAGTTAAGTCCGGTAAGGATCACTTCGCTGATGATGGGTGGATGGTTTCTGGCTACTTCTATTGGAAATAAATTGTCTGGTGTACTGGCTACGCTTTGGGATACTTATGAAAACAAAGCTAATTTCTTCTGGGTAAACTTTAGCCTGCTTCTTTTCTCTGCTGTTATTGCTTTCTTTCTGTTGAAATGGCTGAATGGTATTATGGAAGAAAAAGGAATAAAATAGTTACGGGGAAAAACCAATAATTAGAATTAATTTGCGAACTTTTAAAATTAACTAACCTATAAAACAATATTTATGGATCAATCTGAAATCCTTAAGCCAGAGCAATTAGACGCCGCTCAAAAAGGCCATCCAAAAGGATTATATGTACTGTTCGCTACCGAGATGTGGGAACGTTTCAATTACTACGGTATGCGGGCTATTTTGGTGCTTTTCATGACCAAAGCCTTATTATTTGACAAAGCATTTGCGTCAAATTTATATGGAAGCTATACAGGTCTTGTATACCTGACTCCTTTAATCGGTGGTTTTATCGCCGACAGATATTGGGGAAACAGACGATCTATTGTAACCGGGGGTATATTGATGGCACTTGGAGAGTTGATTATGTTTGGCTGTGCCTCTCTTTATCATACGATGCCTGATATTTCAACCTTCTTGTTCTTTACAGGTTTAGGTTTCATGATTTCCGGTAACGGTTTCTTTAAACCAAACATCTCTTCAATGGTAGGTCAGCTTTATCCTAAAAGTGACCGCCGTATTGATGCTGCTTACACGATTTTTTATATGGGAATCAATGTTGGTGGTGCACTGGGCCCTTTTATCTGCGGATATTTTGGTGACACGGGTAATCCTGCTGATTTTAAGTGGGCATTCCTTGCTGCTGCGATTGCCATGTGTATTGGGGTAATAGTTTTCATTAACTTCAGGGATAAGTATGTTCGTGACCCAAATGGGGATCTTTTAGGTTTAAAGCCTGCTAATCCTGGTGACAAGAAAGTCTCACCTGTTCTGGTTTATCTCGGCTTATTTGCTTTTTCTGCGTTATGCGTAGGAATGTTATATATTGATGCTAAAATCGTGAGTTATTTAAGCTATCTGCTGATTATTGCAGTAGTTGGTATTGCAATCATGATCTTTACAGATAAAACGCTTTCAAAGATTGAGAAGAAAAAAATATCAGTAATTTTTATCGTTGCTTTCTTTGTCTTGTTTTTCTGGAGTGCTTTCGAACAAGCAGGAGCTTCATTAACGTTTTTTGCAGAGGAGCAAACACAAAGAAATTTAGGTTTCTTTACAGTTCCTTCTAGCTGGTTCCAATCTTTAAACTCTATTTTCGTAGTTGTATTTGCTCCGGTATTTGCCTGGTTATGGATTAAGCTGGGTAGAAAAGAACCTTCTGCCCCCACTAAAATGGCTATAGGTTTAATGTTGCTTGCATTGGGATACCTTGTTATTGCAACTGGTGTTAAAGATGTAGGTGCAGGAATAAAAGTGAGTATGATTTACCTGATCGGTATGTATGCTTTCCACACCTGGGGTGAGCTATGTCTTTCTCCTATCGGATTATCATTGGTAAATAAGCTTTCTCCTTTAAAACTATCTTCTCTTTTAATGGCGGTATGGTTCCTTGCAAATGCAGGTGCAAACGTATTGGCAGGAAAATTAAGCTCTAAGTATCCTGAAGAGGAGGCCAAAGTAGCAGAATATAAGGTTAGTCCTTTGGTACTTGACAAATAGCGCTATTGACTGGCAACAGGTTGCTAACAG